GCCTGCCTGGACCCCATTTCCCTGCTCACACTGACTTTGTCCTGGTTCCCATCCTCATTCTGTCCCCCTTCCTTTCTTACTCCTCCTCTCATGGGGATCTAACTGCCACTGCTCTGTCCTCTGTCTCTTCCCAGTGATGCCTGTCTTTCTAGATTTCTCTCCAAGTAACTCACTTAACCAGACTGAAGCCCTTCTATATATTTAACAGAGCAGCCACAGCTGTCATTGGCAAAACAAGGTTCTAAAGGTTTTTCCTAGAATCATCAACCTATTTCTCATTCTAAAGTCCTACGGAAATTGACACCTTCTCACCACCAAGTTCAGTGCCTTGGGGACCTATACCTGAGTCATTACGGTGTGAGATTCAGCAAGGATGGCCAGCTTCTACCAGGAAAAGTCCCTGGGGCTCCCAGGTGCAACACCACCTCATCTTCTCCCTTCCAGAATGTTCTTGACCCTGCTACAGCACTGGGCTCTCTGCTTGTAGGGCTTCTGCAAGACACACTCAAAAAGTTTCAAGTCAGGCTCTCCCTGGTGGCAGTGGGTTAAAGCACCACATTATGAAGCTCTCCAAAGCCACTGCAGCATGAGTTCCATCCACCGCCAGGGAGCTGACCCACATGGTGTGACAGACCTCTCCTAACCTACCAGCTGCTCCCCTCAGCAGTGTATTTGAGTAGATCTGCCTGTTCTGCTCCCTACTCTGTCTCTGGTGAATTCTCTCACCCACCACACCTCTGGCCTATACTCCAATTCTGTAAGCATAAATAAATAAATCTTTAAAAAAAAGTTTCAAGTCAACCTGGACCCTGGACATCTTAGAATGGGAGTGGCCTAATGCTGAAATGGAGAGGGGAAGAATTGCTTGATCATCTAGGCTATAGGCACCTGCTTGATTGGGGCAACAGAGGAGAAGAAAGTTTCCTTTCTGCTTAAATCAGGACTCAAACTAAGACTGCCTGTTGTACTGCAGCCAGGGGAACAGGATAAATGTGACGAGCCTACAGCAGGAATTGGCCTGGTCGTCTAAGTGGACTTAGTGGGGGGAGGCGGGGGGGGGGGGGGGGGGGGGGGGGGGGCTCTGGGGGTGAGAGGGGTTTAGTGAGATCTCCGCCCAGCAAGCCCACGTGATCAGGGAGCCTTCTAGCCAGAGATTGAAGCTGTTATCCACCCAGCTGGTCTCCTGTCTTGTCTGTGTGGGGAGATGCCACAGATCTGTTTTTATCAAATATGCAATTAAAAAGTCACACTATTAGGAAACTCTGGAGTGTGAACATATGGGCTTCTCCCAAGACAGGATTTTTCTGAGCCACTCTGAGAGTGGTGGGGGTCCCAGTTCCCCAGGATGTCAGAGGGGGCAGAGCTGGAGGATAAAATGCAAGCATGCCAACTTTCAACCTAAAAGAGCAGCCACTGAGATGCGAAGATTCTGGAGTGGAGAGCCACATAGTTCTCAGCCCCTTGTTGGCACACGCAGTCCCAGGCTTGGAAATGGCATTTTGCTGTGTGTTGGCAAGAAATCCTGCAGCTGAAACACTTCTCTCCAAATGTCGAGCATCTTTATTTATCCAAATCTCTCCACAGTGTTTGTTTAAAGGGAAGTGCTAGAGAGTAAACTAAATTTTACAATGAGCATATGGATGGCTATAATTGCTGAGGGTTTTTTTTTTCATATTTGCTAACTTGCTATATATAAAATTGTGTTTCTATTTTATAGATTTCACACCCTGAAGGCTGCTAATTTTTGCATGCATATGATTTTCACATGAATGGATGGAAATACTGAAATATTCTTCCCTCTGGATTATCTCCATGGCCCTGACCCTACTCTGGTAGCCTCTAGTGGGTGGAGGTCAGGGGAAACCCTCCCACCCTCCATGGCCCCAGCTTCTCTGAAAGTTCTATCAGCTTCTGTCCACTCATGAATTGGCACAATTGCCTTCAGACCCTTCAGTGATGAAACGTATGTCAGAAAGAACCCTATCTGCTTCCTTCTCGGTGCTTCATACTGATTTCATACGATTTTGCCAACCTTCTCTTTGAGAATTTTAAATAACAGAAATGACATCTGCCTCTGACTTTGCTGGAAATGTAGAACACAGATATTGCTAAGGAGATCTAAATGTATAGCTCATCAAGGAAGACGAATACTTGGGTTTAGGTGTTATCTTCCACTTCCTAACCCACCAAACCACCAACCTCGAGTGCCCCCTGGTGCCCCCTGGTGGAGATTCGAAGGAGAAAGGAAACAGCCTGAAGTGGTGTGCTCGGGATCCCTCCTCTAGGTGGAAGAGTGAAGGGCCAGACACACCTTCCCAGAGTCACCCATGAAGGCAGTGGCTGCGCTGAGACTTCCCAGTCACCCGGAACATATCTCCCTGCTGCCATTCCCTTTGCTTCTCCAGGGAGGAGCTCACAGCTCTTAGCTGTCAGTGTGTCCTACTCCTGTTCCATCTTTTTCATTCCTCAGTAGACATGTATGAAGTGTGCACAGGTCGTGGCTGGGTGTTAGGGAGATTTCAGAGAAACATTAATGCCTCATTGCTGTCTGCAAGGTGCTTCCAGGCTAGGCAAGGATGCTCTGCAGGGCGCGGGCGGGGAGGTGCTGACTGGGAGAACAGCACAGTAGGTGACTTGCTCGTACTCAGAGGAGGAGCCTGAGAGCCAGGGAGGGAGGGTCCAGATGGTGGAATGGTCTGGGGGTAGATGCGCACAGCATTGTCCAGGACAGTGGTGCCAGTCCCCCACCCCCCGCCACCCCCCAAGACGCTCAGCCCTTGTCAGTGTTTGGGCACCGAGGCTTCCGCCAGGCTCATGGTCACCACAGCCTGAAGGACACCGCTGGCTCCGGAGCACATCCTTGTGGGTTCGTGCCCAGCTCTAGTGGCCAGTTAACCTTGACAAGCTACTTAGCGTCTCTGAGCCTCACTTGGGAGTTGGCAGCTGGCACAGGCTGGGGCTCACAAGAAGTGTGGTTTGCCTAACAAAACGGAAATGCACCAAGCCCTGTGCTAGGCACTGGGAGCAGAGCCATAGACCCAGCTCCAGTGAGGCAAACATTCAACCAGGGGCGTGGGGAGCAGCAAATAAATACAGAACATGTCAGATGCGGATCAATGACGAGTATGAAGGAAAATGAAGGGTGGGGGAGATTCTATTCACATATGGTCAACAGGGTTCTTTCTAAGGAGTTGTAGCACTAGAGCTATAAAGGCAAGGAGAAGAGTGAGCCCTGGAAATATCCAGGGACCAGCATCTTTGGCAAAGGAAACAGAGTGCAAAGACCAAGGGGTAGAAAAGGATCTAGAATCGAGCAAAGGAAAGGAAGAGCTACCTGAAGGCAGACAAGGGACCAGATGGTATAGGGCCTTGACTTGCTCTGATGGGAAGTCTCTGGAGGGTTCTGAGCAGAGGATGATAGTCTGTGACAATGACCAGCTTCTTTAGTCACCAGTTTCTCCCAGCACCTATTTCACAGCAAATTATTCTGAATGCCTCATGGGCCTCAGAAGTGGCGTGAACCCCTGGGTTCTCCCAGGAGGCAGGATATCTGACCCTCACCCTGGTAGAGTCAAGTGGCCCCCTGCTTTCTTGCTCCTCATTCTGAGAGGCCATGTCACGAACATAACCCTTTGTCCCTGCAGAATTCCAGCTTCCTGTGACTGAACCTGACATCAACAACAGGCTGGAGTCTTTGTGCCTCAGTATGACCGAGCACGCCCTGGGAGGTGAGTGCTTCCACCCTGCATGTCCCCTGGGGGAAGAAGCAGCCCTCTGCTTCTGGCAGTACTGGCAGCTACTGGCAGTAGCTATTGGCAGTAGCTGGGGGTGGGAGGGACCCGAGGAGGGGTAGACAAAGGACAAGAAAGTGTGTCCTTGAGATGGACTCAGGCCTTCCTCAAGCCATGACACCTGAGTGGCCCACGGTGTCCTGCCTCCGCCTCTCCAGGAGGTGAGTCTGACCGGCAGTCCCAGCTGGCCCTCTGCCCCCACGCCCAGTGCACCCTGGAGTCCCCCCCCACACACACACCAGCTGTCCCAGGCCAAAGCTGGGAGCTGGAGGAGTCGGGAGCACAAAACATGGCTTTTAGTGGAACATCCCTCCCCACCCCCCACAGCATTGGATTCTCTCCCTCTGGGCGCTAGATCCCCCAGTCTGGTCTAGGCATCTCCCAACTTGCTCTAAAAATAGAATTTTGAGCCAGAAATCCCTGCTTTTATGTCTCCCTGTTCCAAATGGCTTCCATGCCTCGCGGAGCCCCCAGCAGCCTGAGGTATGACAGGGAAGTCTGTTGCTATGCCTGTGGGGTGCAGCGCTGCACCCTGCAAGGGGCTCCCCAGAGAGCTGGATGCCCCCACCATCTGTTTGGTCTGATGCTATGCCTTCCTGGTACCAAAAACAAACACAAGTCTTGCTCTGGCCTGGACATGCCGCCAGCCTTGGGGATGCTTGGCAGGCAGGGGAGAGATGGCTGCCCCTTCCCACCAACCTCCAGGGATGCTCTGTCACGGTCCTCCCTCTCCAGTCAGAGCGCCCAGACACCCAGGAGATGGGTCACATGCCGAGAGCAGGAATCCGTGCCTCTGGGCGTGGCGGGGAGGAAGGCTGTTGTCAGCTATGACTCCAGCTATGACTTCAGTCCTTCCTGACCAGGGGTTTTTAGGTTTTTGGTCTGCAAACACAATTTTTTTTTTTAAAGATTTATTTGTGCATACAGAACTGGGGTACAGGCTAGAGGCTCAGGGGCGGTGAGAGGCTTCACCAGAGTCAGAGTGGGGAGCAGAACAGGCAGATCGACGAAGTACACTGCTGAGGGGAGCAGCGGGCGGGTCAGGAGAGGTCTGCCACGCCATGTGGTCACCTCTGGGGCAGGTGGGGATCGAAATCATGAGAAAGTGGTTTAAGCTTTTTAGTGCTGTGCTTTAACCCGCTGTGCCACCAGGGAGGGCCCACAATTTTTTTTTTTTAAAGAATGTTATGATTTATTTACACAGGCAATTTTTCTGTAGCTTCATTTTCCTCTGAAAAGTAACAAGAGAACTCCAAAGCTTAGAACTGGATTACTTGACCCTTTCTCTTCTTATCACCTCCCAGTTCAAAATGCTTGCATCTCTTAATGGCCAGCATCCTTTTGGATCTGCAGTTGGGGTCCACACATTCAAGTCTCAGCACTATCTTCTTGGTGGTTTTAGCCTTCTTCCGGAAAATCGGCTTTGTGGGCCCACCATAGCCACTCTGCTTCCGATCGTAGCGCCTCTTTCCCTGGGCATACAGGGACTCCTTGCCCTTCTTACCCTGGGTCACTTTGTGAGGCTGGTGCTTTCCACACTTCTTGCAGAACGTCCTCCGGGTTTTAGGCACATTGACCATCTTTGCAAAAGAGTTGTTAATACAATGAAAATTGGCAACCTGATGTCCACACTCCCCAACTTGCTCCACTCGCATCTAACAGGAAAAAGCTCTGCAAACACAATCTTATCCTAAAATGAATATGCGACAAGTGGTCTGCATAGAGCAGAATGGAGTGCAAGCACCTGACCTTGACCGTGTGAGGCTTTCTACAGCCCTGAGGAAGCCTCAGTACCAGGAAGGCGTGGAATGCAGGCCACCCAGGACTGCACCCGACACAGTGGGAGCACACAGCTCCTTCTGGAACCTCACTGGGGTTCCATGGAACCCCATTTGCAAACCCTGTTCTCTCCTTTGGCCATTCAGATCCTGGAAGCTTGGCAGCCCATCGATGCATGGAAATACATAATGTAGTAACAGCTGTAGCATGGACTGTCACTCAGCCTTAGTGGAAGGACATGCTGACACGTGCTGCAGCATGGAAGGCCCTTGCCACCACTATGCTAAGTGCTGGTCCCGAAAGTAGGCTTTCACCAACATGAAATGCTCCGAACAGAAAAATCTGCAGCCAGAAAATAGAGCAGTGGTTACTAAGCCATTAGAGAGAGGTGGGCACGGAGACTGACTACGAATAGACAACACATTTCTGTTGGGGGTATTAAAAAATATTCGGAAATTAGTGATGGTGGTTGTAAAACTCTTAATCAACTTAAAAAAAATCACTGAATTGTGAACTTTATAAGGATGACATTTGTGTTAGGTGTCACAGTGCTTTCATGGGGTCAGAGTCAGGATAGCGGCAGGCGATCAAGTCCCTAGATCTGGCCCTGCCAGGGCTCTGATGCCAGAGGGAAGCCCCCAGGGCCACTGTTGTCAGGCCAGGCTCAGCCCAGTGCCCTGCCCAGACGAACAATACCCACTGACTAGGTGGGGGAGGCTTGAAGAGTCAGCAAAGAAAACTGACCTCCTCCCCCAGGGCTTGCTACAGCTCAGGTAATTGGCATATTGGAAGCTCTTATCAAACTGCTAACTACAAACATTATCATCATTAGTGGCCAGAATGCTGAATGCTTTTTATTAAAGGAAGTTTTCATTTAAAAGATTTCATTTTTTTTTAGCTCAGTCTTCTACTTTTACAGAAATTCTCCACAAACTGGTGGTTTCTTCCTAATGTTTTCATCTTGTTAATCTCCTAAGCCTTTTTATGGCTCTGTTTTTTTCTCAATAATCCTCTGTGGTAGGAAGCCACGTGAGCAGTTTCCCGATCAGAGAATGCAAACAAAGTTCAGGGTGGGGTGGTCCAGTTGACAGGGGTGCAGGGACAGCACCTCTCTGCTGGTCAACCCCTTTCCGGTGCCAGAGAAGATGACCTTGCTGGGTGGGGACAGAGTGCCAAAGAATTAAGACATTTTACAGGAAGCCAGACAACTGGGAAGAGGAAAGCAGAGTGAAAGTGCTCTGCTGTGTCTCTGGAAAGGAGGCCATGGCCCGAGAACCTAGGAAGCCACGTCCCGGGACCACTGTTCTAGGACCCAGCATGTGGGACCCCTGGGGACCTGGTCTTGGGACCTCTTCCTTTTGGGCATGTCTCTTCTTGGCTGGCATAAGCGAAAGTCTCTTTGACCTTCCCTTTCCATCTCCTTTCCCCTCCCACTGCCCACTGACAGAACCTGTGATGGGGGTAGTTTGCCTCTGGCATCTTGGTCTGTGAGCCTCTATTTAAGATTTTCATCTGACTTTTTCCTGCCTGGTGCCCCTGGGTATTCAGGAAGACTTGGTGCCAAGCGTAGCCATTATCTTTCTGCTACAGAGGGTTATGGGAACAGAGATAAGGACAAAAGTGGGCTCCTCCCAGCAAAACGGACTCCACGGTGAGTCATATCAGAGGAGTGCCCCATTCCCTTATACTTGCCCCCCACCCGGTCCCCTGACAATTCCTCCTCACCTTCCCTTCATGCAGCCTGGGACTTACAGCACCTTTCTAGACCATAGGAAGACCGTGCACATTAGGAAAAGGCTCCACTTCCTTAAGGGGCTGTTCTGCCAGTTACATGAAATCTGGATAATGACTATGAAGTCTGTAGTGATTGCATGTGACTGTGGCCCCTGAAGTTGCTCGGTCCACAGCTCACACTGACAGCTCTGAACTCACCTAGGGGCCATTCCCCAGCCTGCTAACACTGCTGCCCTGGGAGGGCGGGGTGGGAGAATGCACTTCTGAGGGGCTGGGTTAGCTGAGACATTCATGTTTCCAGTCCTGAACTTCCACGGCTGTAAAGGGTTGGTATTAATGAAATGAATAGGTGGCTGAGTCCTGGCAAGAGGTTGCACTGCTCTTCTAAACACCCCCCATCATGCTCACACAAGTGTCCGCACACACATAGCTACTGTTCTCCCTCAACCAGCTGCTGCTGCAGAGACACACAGGAGGCTCAGGTGGAAACCTGCAGAAAGCAAGGAGAGGCTGTCGATTAAAGTTTGCATCTGTGGTTCACATCTGTGGGCCTCTTGGACTGATGATTTGATAACCAGTTTTAGGGAACAACTTGCTTCTCTTTAAAATCTCTCCAGAACCTGTCTAGAACTTTACACACACAATACAAGTATAACTGGAGAATTCTAAGTAAGATGAATAGATTGTACCAATGTCAGTAATTCGGCGGTAATATTATACTAGTTTTACAAAATGTTCCCATAAGGAAACTAGGCATAAACCAGAAACCCAGAACTATGCCTTTCAACTGTATGTGAACCTACAGTGACCTCGTAAAAATTTCCAGTAAAGAAACATTTCTTCATGTCCCTGCTGGCAAGATGCCAGCCTGCCCCCTACCCCATGGGAAGGCCAGAGACCCCTGCAGAGCACTCAGCAACACCCCCTCCCACTTAGGCCCTCTGGCTTTCCCTGCAAGACACTGCTACCCCTGTCATGCCTAAGTTCTGCCCACCGGGTCTAGATGCTCCATCCAGACCAGGTTTGTGGCACTGAAATTTACACTCACATATGGAAATCAAGGAAGCTGGGGGAGGTAGCCCAGTCCCACCCTGGCCTTCACTTAGCGGCATCTGAAAAAGGGTCATTCCTGCCTCTATGAGAGTTGAGCCACCTCTTGTCATCTCCAGCATAGACCATGTTAGGGTGCCACCTGCCCAAGAAACCAGCCTTCAGTCAGACCTGGTTACTGCTTCTAAGTGCCCAGTTGCCACCCTCCGCCCTCCTGCTTGTCTTGTGTATACAAAACCCTATGGTTTATACTAGGGAGGCTGCCATAGACCCAAGCATCAGCTCCCTCTGCTGTCTGTCTCATTCATGGCCTCTGACCTCTGAATTTCATGTCCCCAATTCTCTAGCTCAGTTTCACTAACTCTGTAACATCATCATGGCATTTCTCAAACGCCATGATTCTTGACACAAAGACTATGGATTATTCTGGGTCAGAGGCATCCCCCGGTCTGCTCAGCTATGGCCAGGGTCGCAGTCTCAGTCACAGTCACGTTGTTCCCAGTCTTTCAGTTAAGACAGTGAGATGGTGATGGTCCCAAAGGAAGGACTCTGCAAGACACGTCTGTTACAGTTTCTGTCTGACTCCTTCGCCACACCTCCTGCCACTCCTCCGTCCCCACATCATAAACCTCCGACCTGCCCTTGCCAAACATTTACAGTTTGTCCATACTTCAGTTGCACGCCTTTCCCTCCTTATTCTTTCCTCCCCATCCTTCTCCTACCAACAGGTTCTAAAAAACATCCATTTCTATCTCTCTGAAACTGTCCTTGACTTCCAAGGACGACTGAAACCTTCTGGCCTCCATGTTTCTGCTGTGTACAGATTCCACTAGGGTGACCATCACCAGTATATTTCTGTGGGTTTGCATGCCTGGGTGATAAGCACGATGTGAGTACCTCATGGGTGAGGTGTGGTGAGATACCACCTTGGTATCTAGGCTTAGTTTGATTTGCGGCAAAAAGAGCTATTCTTCAATTGTTGAGTTGGGTGAGTGTGTAATAAATGAGTGAATAAATGAATTTACCTCTTGTGTGTCATCAAGAGACTGAGAAGCCCATCATGGCTGAAGGTGACTTGGTGGGCATAAACAGGTTGTTTCTGCTCATGCACTTTGTACTTATGTCTCCTGTAGACGGGGTTGACCGGACCTCCACAATTTAGAAGCTGAAGATGAGAGTGACCGCGCTGGCCGTGAAATCGACTGCTGCGGGTCCAGTGTCAACCATCTTCAGGGTTGCACAGAATCCTCCAAGATACTTTGCAGCCTTTTTTCCCTGGTCCCTCTCCCATTTTGATTTTGTGAGAGCGTAGGTCGTCCTTGTAAACATATCAGTAGACCTGCGATTGGTTATTTTGTCATTTGTTTCTGTCATTGGGATGGCTTGGCGTGTGGGTTGGGAAATGGGGCTCTAGGGAAACTTGGGGCTAGGGGCTGGGGGGAGGCGAAGGAAATTTCGGTGGCTTTCTGGTGGAAAGGGGATGGAGATAAGGGAAGAGCGCCACCATGAAAAAGATAAAAAGAGACAAAGGAGGGAGGCAGAAGCCGCAGCCCTGGCAGCCCTCTCCAAAAGCCTGCCCTCACAGCCAGGCCCCAGGAAAGGCATGGATATGAGCGACCAAAGCAAGATGGCGCCTCGCCTTCCCGCCTCCCTGATTGGATTTCCTTGAGGCCCCTGGCTGAAATCCAGCCGAAGGGAGGGCCGTGAGTCATGGCAATGGGGGCAAGAAGGGAGAAATTCTCTCCAACAAAATTTCAGATAAACTTTGATTTGTGTATTGTTTACATAACAATTTTAAAGGGTACATAATGTGTAAAGGATTTGGATAGAACTTCTCTTCATGCTATGGTTTTTGTAAAGGATTTATTAATATGGATTCAGTTTTTCCTTCTATTTTTATAACAGCAGCAGAGTTGTCTTTTTAAATGACTGTCACGTTCTGCTTCTCAGAAGATGGTCGCGGTAAGGTAGGCCTGGGTGGCGGCCTGTCACCCAGAGGTGGGAGGGACGCGTAGGCTGAGGAAAGC